TATGTGTTATTCAAGAAATAATACAATTTGTCTGAGTTACATAAAGAAATTATTTTATAAATTTAATTTACATTTATACAAATTAGTAAAATTGATTTCAATTGCTACACTTTTAATAGTGTAAACATTATGATACGCTCACTGATGATTAAGTTTGAACGAATGTTTCGATTACTTATGAGTTCAGGCGTTCCGTATAGGCAAGCTAACTTTCAAGTCCTCGGCAAGTGACGTAGACACGCACTGTATTTACCAATCAAGAAAAATTGTGAAACGATACTAGGGACTGAGGAGGAAAGCAATGATGGTGGGCAATTTATTACACGAAACGCAAGGTACGTTCTACCATCGCCAGACTTTTCGATTCTATAGGTACGCTCGGGCCTACACTCTTATGGATCAAAACATTTATGCAAAGGTTATCGCAATCGGGTCTTGAATGGCACAGTCATCTACCAGAGGAGTTTACGTGGTTACGCGGCCGTTGTTTATTTGCGGGTAGTAGACCTTTTTGGTCACACTATGATAAATTTTGTCACTTATAAGACCAAAGTAGAGCCAATCATAACTCATAAATATCAAATTACAGTGTCTTGAACTATATACTGCTTTATTACTCGCGACAACGTTAAAACTCGTAAAAAAATGTTTAAACATTGATTTTCCAAAGATCAATGTGTAGATCGACTCACCGTCATATTATCGTGGTTAATCGTTAGCCAAAGGTTTTAAAGTATTTGTAACAAACAGAATCGCTAAAATACAGCAATTAATACTGGGGTGTAAATGGTTTTATATCAATACGGTTGATAATCCCGCGGACCTGGAATCGCGCGATTTATTATCACATGATACAATATTATGTCACATTCATGAAGAAAAACCGGCGTTTTTACGATTGCCTGCCAAACAATAGCCGTGGCATAATTATGGCTTATTAAAGTCGGAATAACTACCGAATTATCAACAAAAGACAGTAATTCTCACTATCATTAACAAAAAAACCGTCGCTGATCAAATGTTACACCACTTTTCCACATTACAAAGAATGCAACAATCGTTCGCTAATATTTTCCGCTGGGCCGCCAGCTATTAATATATTAATTAATATAAAAACGAATTCTTGTTAATAATTATTTATTATTCTTTTTGTTTAGTTAATAAGCTTTAAACAATTTAATATTTATAAAAACCAACTGTTGTACTGATGATTTATTTTAATAATAATCATCTTCTTTATGATTATCTCAAGTGAATAACATCATTAACTTCGAAGGTAATTTATTAACATCATTTCTTTTTTTCATTAACCAAGCTAAAATAAAAAAATGTTAATTTTAGTAAAGATATTAAATTGAAAATTGATATGCACCTTCATAATATACGTAATGTATATTTTCAAAAGATTTTTTAATCTCTTTTTTTGTAACATCGTTATTAAAAGCTGTATCTATGACGTTATTAAAATCATCTATAGAGATTTTTCCAGTTTTTTCCATATCTTTTTTATGAAATCCTTTAAGCAATTCGTTGAATAAACGCACCATTATTTTTGGAGGTTGGACATAAGTATTATTTAAAATTTGTATAAGATTTCTACAAGTAATAAATACATCCACTAAAAAAAAAATAATTTAAAAAATATTAAAATAGAACAAAAATAATTTATTTATGCTCGTATTAAAGAATTATTTAAATCTATAAAACACAGAATAACTTCATTCCCTAAAATTTTTTTTTTAAATATTTAAAATAAATAGATTTTTTTAATACAAATATAGTTGAATAAAAATAATTATGGTATGGACATTTAACATGAAAATTAACACCTAAAATTTATTTCAAAAAATGACTTTATTAAACTGAAAATATTTATTAATCAAAATCGTAATTGAAATTAATTACATATTATGTGATATTTATTAAAATCAAGAAAGATACAACTTATTTTATAAATTATAAATATTTATCATTTATACAAATTAATTTTTTTTTTTATGTGTTAATTTATCATATTAATTTCTTCTAATATGATAATAACTTTGCTCTTTTAGTTTATTTATTTCTTTATAACCGATTAATAATTTTTAGGTCTATCATCATTAGCGTACCCAAGGGACTTTCATGAACCCCTAAATCACTTAATTATTTCATGTATATTTTTGTAGTTGTGTTAATAACTTTGTTATTATTTATTTATTGATTTTAGGTACTAATTTAATACTTTGACTGGCTTCTCATGTAAAAGGATTTAGGGAAATAGGTCTCGCCATTCACAAAATGTAATATTTAATGTATAAATATATTACTTCAGCATAGTCATTTTTCGTTTTGTTTATTAAGAGTCACTGCTATTTATATATCTTTTAATCTATTTACTATTTTAATAATTGATCGTTTAAACCTAAATAAGTGGATAATTTTGTATTTTTTCCATGTATTCTTTATACTCTTTAAATGAAGTCATGAGGGATAAAAATGGTATAATAATTGATATTTTGTAATTTTTTTTTACATTGTCCCTCTCCTCAATATGAATTTCTGGCTACGCCACTGTTACTAAATATTTGAATATTATAGTCTAAGTTTTAGAGAATGTTAGTTGGGTTAATAACCCAACTAAGAGAATTAAAAGTCGTTGAAAATGTTAAAATATATTGGCAGTTATTAAATTTTTAATTGATTTATAATGATGGAAAATGTTGAGTTATAGTTTTTTTATCATTACGCATTATTATGTCGCACTCCTTTAAACTCTAATATAAAAATGTTCATTTTATGAATAGTCAAAAAAATAACGCCACTTGCGTACCGCCGGTTCACGCGATCGAGTTTTTGTTGCGCGTTCGGTGTGTACGGCGAGTCTGGTTTTGGCGCTTATGCTATTAAGAACGATCCTATGACGGACAATGGAGCGCCTCAACTTGAGAGCCCACAGCTAAGTTCCGTGATCGCCAGTTCAATAGCAAAAAGAAATTTTGGATGCCCATCCACGGGTTCATGTTGTGAAGAACGTGTCTGGTCCTTGTATACGATTAAACGAAGTAACCAGGTTGCATATAAAGAATTTAAATATATAATTGTGTACTAATGGTAGATTAATTTATGTAATATTGTGTTTAGTAATAATAAAATTTACATTTGTTCTGTCAAAGAGTATTGTCATTAAATTTTAGTTAGTCAAGTCGTGTCCATAACAGGCGGAAATACTGAGTGCCCCCACCAAAAGGTGTTTTCGTGTCGGTGGCATAACAGTATAGTATTTTTTATATGAAATATTGTTTATTAGTAGCTGCTTCAAAGTCCGTTTAATGAAAAAGTTAAGATAATATTTTACCCATTACTGATGATAAGTTTTAACGAAAAATGTTCTTATTTTCATTATTTAATTTTCTCTTGGGAAAAATATTGCAATGTTAATTATTTGAAATTTTTAGTTGAATATCCACAAATTCCATACTATAACCTACTCTAAAAACACGATCCTTATCATTTTAATTATGATATATCTGACATTAATTTTCATCATTCTCTTTTAATGAAATATTTAGATATTTTATTTGATTCTTAAGAATTATTCAGATTTAAATATAGCAAAGTTTGATGTATCAAGTTAATTTTTTTGCTGTAAATTACTATAATTATATTCCAAAGATTATAATCTGACTAAATAAACAGAACAAAAAAAATTAGAAAATAAATTTGACATGCCCTTCGAATTGTTATTACAGTGTTAACAATTAGTTAAGTTAATTAGTTAATTTTTTCCATCGTTTACAAATTCCAGAATAAATTAGTTGTACTAATAAGGTTTTTATCACGTTTAGACCTATTCATAAAAGATAATTTTTTTTAGAATTAAACAAAATTTTAGTTACTAAATAGTTAATTTAAGAATCATATAAGTTTATTAGAACTCTACTTGACAATAAAAATTAAAACAATTAAAAAGTACTGTAATTTTAAAATGTTCAAAAAAAAATATATGTAAATTTGAATCTATCCTATTTTACTCTTTGTAAAAGAAGTAGCAAGTTTTTCAATTGTTTAACTTGCTTATATATAAAAATGATCTAACCAATAAAATGATTTGCTGATAACAATTTTTGAACCAGCATTATAAAAATTGACAAATTGTCCTTTCATTTTGATTAATTTTATATTATAATAATATTATACAATCAGTTTTTAACAATTGATTTCCATTTATCAAGTAATTTTTCTACCCAGTTTCAAGTTTATATGGTAAATACTTTTTGAATAAATCAATTTAATTTTCGGTTTTCTTTTCCTTATCCTACAATAACTTTAATATTTATATTAATGGAACTTGAAACAATTATAAAGTACCAATATTTTACAATTTTATGAAGTGTTTCGGACTTAAATGGATATAATTATTTATTTTATTGTAAATATCTCAAAGGGTTATATGGAACAAATTAAGGAACGAAATAGAATCCGAAATATTAATTTCATGTTTACTCATATACAGAATGATCAAAATCTGGTAAGACACTCATTTTCTCAGAAAATATTGAGAATTTTAAATTTTATTATATAAAAAAATATCAAGTTCAAAAAACTCTACAATAATATGTAGTCAAACCATTATTTTATTCGTCCCTTCAAGGACAAAATCCCTTATTTATAATTGTCTTAAATGGGAACCCTTAATTTTAACTTTATAATATGATAGAAAAAAGAATTACAAACAATTTTGTTCTTATAATTTTTTTATCCGATTAACCGTTCGTCTATTACAGCTTGTAAAAGTTAAGTGATTTTAGACCAAATTTCTATTGTCATTTTACTGTATTAAATACAGAAATCATTATTTTTATTTGCTGTTGCATAAACCAAATTTTATTGATTAAGTTATGACAAGTAAATTAGCTATAAAAATGTACCACGCACTAAATGAGTGATAACAATAATAGATTCAAATCGGGTTTTCGATGTATTACTAATACCTAAGTCTATGGTTTTGTAAGACTAAAGGATCTAACAAAAATACCGGTTTCAATGCCACCGATATTATGAAACGTAATAAATGACAATATTTTTTCTGGAAGTCAAAATCTTTAAACAATTATAAAACGTAGGCTGTTGTTCGGATGAAAAAAATTATAAGAACAAAATTGTTTGTAATTTTTTTTCTATCATATCAAATCAAAAATAGTGGTTCCCATTTAAAAAAATTATAAATAAACATTTTTATCCCTGAAGGGATAAAAAAAAAATTTATTTAACTTCATATTATTGTAGAGTTTTATAAACTTAATCATTTTTCTTATTACAAAAATTTTTAATTTTCAATAGTTTCTGAGAAAAAAAAGTGTCTTACCAGATTTTGATCTCCTGTATAACATTTTAGTAACTATTTAATGATGTTATTGTAATAAATCTATTTGTTTCGAACTAAGTATAAAAGAAACTATTTTCAATCCCTTATTATATGTAATAATTTATGTTCATTACTGTTTAATCGATCCAATTTTACTTTTAATATTTCTGCTTCCTTGTTATTAATTTTTATCAATTTATTCCAGACATCCAAAATAGAATAAATCATTGTTGACTCTGGGAATATTTCCTTAACTATTGCCTCCATATTTTCAGGTATTTCATAGGTCTTGAAGTTTGAAAAAAAAATTCAGTTAATAACTATTTTTCAAATAGACATTTTTATGATATGTAAGTATTTATTAAGGGTTCAATACTGAAATTTGATAGCTGGCAAACACACGTTGATGTAAAATATATTAATATATGTTAAGTACGAAAGAACGTTAACATTTGTGGGTTAAAATAGAAACAATACGAGTACTGACTAGTATTAAATTAACGACGAGCTAATAGTAAATGTCTGCTTAAGAGTAATGTACAACATGTAAAATTAAAAAATATCTAAAATAATATTAAATAAAAATATAAATAATATTTGACTATAAAAAATAAAAATAATAATTTATATTAATTACAGTAATTAATAATTAGTGATATTCTTTTCAAAATCAATCGTATATAACCCTACTACTATTTAAAGCTTCAAAGTGGTATACTTTTTTTCGTCATTTAAAATATCAATTAATTTTAAAAAAGTTTAAAAAAGAATTTTATTTTATTTTGTTTACTAATTTAATCATAAAATAACAAAAGATTTATGTATATTTTTTAATTTATTTATAATAGATTTTTTTAAATTATCATCATGGATGAACGAATATAAACAAAAAAAAATTAACCTATTGTTTTAATTTAACTCTTTTATAATTTTCTAAAATATTTGATGAAAACCTTACTATGAATATTGTTCGCTTATATGAGTTAATTGATTATTTGTTTAATTATTTATTAAATAGATGATCCTATTTTAAATATTATCAAATAAAATGGTAGCACATTGGTGACATGACATAGTTGGGTCGAGTATAGATGAATTTTGAAAGTGATTAAAGTCACTATCATAAGATATGCTTTGATGAAAATCTGCACATTGTGTATAATTTTATGTACTTAGTGGAGTATTTTAAAATCAACCCACTGAATTATTCACAGAACAAAAATAATATAAATGTGTTTTTTTGCTTACATTTAGTTACATAGTATTCTTGAATTATTAGCTATGTAATAATTTTTAAGTTTATCCCTTATGCCTTGTAAGGGTGTCAATTACATTTTTTAAGTCGAGACACATATTTTTAATTATAATATTAATAATTAATAAAAATTATTATAATATTTAATAAAATATTTGAGTTTTTAATTTAATAGTAAATGAAAAAAAATTGAATTTTTAAATTGATAAAACAAGCAAATGAATAAATTTAAATAAAAATCCAAACGCTTTTAGTTAAAAATAAAAACCATTAAATCATCAAACTAAAAATAAATATTTTCAATTGATAAAACGGTAGCACTGTGGGGTTGTGGCAAAGTATCAACATAGCATATTCACTGTCATAAGAAACCATCAAAGCGTTTCTTATGACAAATCAATAGATGATGTTTACAAAAGCTACATAAACTCCTATTTTCTAAATTATATCTTGATCAGTAGTTCTTAGATGTAATGTTTAATTTATGAATAATATTTTTATAGCAATTAAATATAGTATGAAATTAATGTTTAATAATTTAATATTGTAATTTTCACGAAGAAGTCATAAAAAATTATAAAGTAGTATATTTTGTTACTATTATGACAAACATGTATAAAAATTCAAGGGCTTGGTGCAATATTTGATAAAAAGTTTATTTATAACTTATGAATAAATACATTGGTCTACATGGAACTTTTATTGGAATCGTAAATATACTTTTCTAAATCAACTTTTCGCGTTGTTTTCAAATATGAAATAAAACTTTTTATATCACTTCTAAGTTTGATATTATTATTAATTATTAAAAATGAGTATTTACATATAAAGAAATCAATAAAACAAAAAAATACTTGTTTTCAAATCATTACTGATTTTGATTTTTAATATATTAAAAATAATTAGTGCAAAATATCATTTATATATATTAAGCATTTGATTAATTTTAATGATTAACTTAAACTAAAAAAAACAATCAAAATGTTGTTAACAAGATCTACTTAATTGAACGTATTATACAATTTTTATATAATTGTAAAAATTCATTGTTTAATTCAGGTGAAACTATAAATCGTTTTTTTCAGAAATGAAACATGTTACAAAAAAAATTGGAATATTATAGACTGGTAGTAACACACACAAATAGAGATAAAAAATTATTAGATTACAAAGAAAAACTATATAAATTTGTAGTTGAAACCTATTATCATATCAAACCTAATTTGACAATAAATATTTTCAAATTATTAGAAATTAATGATATTAATTGTCTGTATGGAGAAAGCTGGTTGGCTTTTTATTGGATAAAGAGGATTTTTTTCTTCAATTTTTAGGTAATATCATTAACTATATAATAGTTGTGATCATTTGATATAGCGTTAAAAAAAGTGAAAACTGACTAAATAAAAGAGAGCAAAAAAAATCACATATTAAAATAATTTTAATATGTGATTAAATATGTTTGATAAATGAGTAAAAAAAATTTTCTAACTTAAAATTGAAAATCACCTTGAAGGCAAAATTAAGTTCGACATTATTTTTTCTTATTAAAGTATATTACAAGAACTATAATTTAAGTTATATATGAAAGTACAGTAATTCCGGAATATTTTCAAAAATTAAGTTGAAAAATGTCTACTTTCTATATGCATTTTTAGTTTTGAACCTCCCCCCTGTATAAAGGAAAATGGTGCAATTTAAAAAAAAAGTATGTTGTATGAAAGAAATATAAAATACTATTCATCATAAAAGTTTTTATTGGTCCATACATTTTTTAAACAGTTATTGAATATAAAGTTAAAAATATAAAATCGAGAATTTTAACATAAAAGAATCATACGGTAGCCATTTTTACCATGAAGACAAAATAAAATTTTTATTTCCATATTAAAGTAAATTACATAAGTTTTAATTTAAGATATATATAAAAGTGTTAGTATTCAAAAGTTAATTTTTTGTGGAAAAGTTTCCATTTTAAAACCCCTTCGTGGACAAGAAAAGGGTCAGATTTACAAAAAAAATATACAAAATAATAGGTAAATACCTCATATATCTATAAAAATTATATAGATTCATAAATGTTTGAAAAAGTTATAGCAATTTAAAAAAAATTTTTTAATAATTTCGAAATTTACTGATTTTGAAAATAAATAAATAAATAAAAAATATAAAATCGAGTATTTTAACACAAAAATATCATATTTTTAAATACGGTAGCTATTTTCACCATGAGAACAAAATGAAGTTCTAATTTTTTGTTTCGTATTAAAGAACATTACATAGGCTTTAATTTAAAATATACATAAAAGTTTCAGTATTTCCGAAACACTTTAAGAAGTTTAGTTGAAAGAGTTATTTTTTTGTAAAAAAGTTGTCATTTTAAATCTCCTACTGGGGCAGGTAAAGGGTCAAATTTATTAAAAAAAAAATACAAAATGAAAGGTAAAGACATTATGCATCTATAAAAAAATTATATTGATACATTCATTATTAAAAAAGTTGACAGTTTTAAAAAAAAAAAAATTTAGAAAATTAGCAATTTTTAAATTTTTAAATTTGTAATTTTTTTTTAGATTTTCCTTATTTACGAGGAACAACGGAAATTTTTTCAATTTTCGAGGGTAATGTCTTTGACTAGATACAATTTGTGATCTTTCGACATATCGTTGAAAGAAATCGGTTCAATAAAAGCTGAAAAAAACGATAACAGACACAAAAAAATCAGCATAGTCATATTAATACCTTAATTCACTCAGCTTCGTATCGAAGCTAAAACTAAATTTGATACTTTTATAAAACATAAAGAATGGACCTAAAAATGAATAAGTGTAATTTAATAAGTAACTGAAAAAATTCAAAATTTTTATTCATTTCAGAAATATTGACAGGCTTATGTCTATAGAATCACTTTGTATATATATAAGGTGTGTATACTAGGTGTAATATTTCCAATAAATGTTTGCAGGTTAATCTGAATGATTTCATATGAATTGACCCCTAGTCTCCCAAGTGAATTTTTAATTATTAATATTAATTTTATAAAAAATTATGTAATAACACTTACCTCATTTATGTTT